TGCAGCCACGTTGCTTGCTGCTTTGCTGCAATCCTCCAGGCTCTGGCGTGGCTGGGGTAGAGCAAGGAATGTAAACTGAACCTCCAAGCAGAACCACACTGGCATGGCTGCTGCGGTCCCGGCGCTGCCCAGGCCCCCTCCTCCCCATTGCTCACAGCTCCCCATGAGAGCGGGCGAGGGAAGGAGGGGAGAAGGCAGTGAGGAGCGGCGGGGCCAGGCAGAGTGATACTGAGCAGGGAAATGACCACAGTGAGATGGGGACAAGACTCCCAGAGCGCTGGGATGTCAAGTCCTGGGGATCAGCCCATCCCCTGCCCGCAGCCGGGGGGATGGCAGCTCCGGGGACCAGGACCCGTGCCTCATCCATCAGCTCGCGCGTGGCTGGAGAGCAGCAGAGGAAGGAGGGCTGGGCCTTGTCCCCAAGGGCTTCCCAGCTGTGGAGGGCACCACCAGCCTCTTTACCTGTAAGGAGTCAGGCTTGCTAGACGGACTGGGTGGGGTAGAGCTTCTGTCTGGGCTCCAGAAGGGATTTTAAGGAGATGCGACATGGGAAATTATTCGTTAGGCTGGAGAAATGTGTGAGAAAAAAGCTAACGGAAAGGCAGGGCCGAGAGGAGAGCGTTACGCCGGGTGAAGGGTTTGCTGCCACCGTCCCCGGGCACCGGCTGTGTGAGGAGCCGGGGATGCTGAGTGGGGTGGCAGCGACAAGTCCCTGCTCGTGGGCTGTGCCCGGGTTTTAGCTCATGAAGGACTGGAGCTGGCCCAGATTGTGGGGACAGAGAACTGATATGGGGAGGATTCGGGGATCCTGGAGACCTTCCTGTGCTGATTCTCCATCCTGCATCGCTCACCTGGGGGCTGAAGTTCCCCAAATTTGGGCTGTCCTGCTCTAACAGCGATGTGGGTGTGTTGCAGGCGCTGCCTGCCAGCGCTCTCCCCGGGGAGGCTGCGCAGCATACGCACCAGCAGCCCCATTACCTGCCCGCTGAAAAATGTTGTTCAACTTGTGCATGGAAAGAGGCAGGCTGAGAGCAAGCTTGTCCCACACCGAGGGGAAGCTGGGAGAGGCTCCCACTGGCTTTTAAGCAGCGCCTCGTTAATTTTTTAAATGCACCAGTGTCAAATTAACACACAAAAGAGCAGCGTGACTTTAAATGCAGGTTTCTGAGCTGCGTTTCATTTCCCTTTAATAAGATCATAGCGTTTGCTTGGCGGGCGGCAGCGAACCACTGAGAAGACATGCGTGATGGGGAGCATCACCCAGGATGGGCGACGGCGGCGGGGAGCAGTTGTACTCTCACCTCTCGTGACTCCGCAGTGCAGGCAGGGAGCTGGCAGAGCCCCTGCCCAGGATCTGTGCTTTGGGGTGCTCGCCCAAGCTCCCCATTTGATGGCATGGATCTGCTGGAGAAAATGCCCCAAAACCTCTCATCTGTTCAGCCGTAGCAAAGCCAAGGCTGATCACGCTGCTCTTGTCCAATGGAGGGAGAGAGGCTGGTGAACTTCAGCTATTTATTTATTCACATGTGAAGCCACGGCACAAAATCTGGCTCTCCCTCCTTCCCCTCCTTCCCCAGTGCTGGGGCTGGTCACTGTGCACTGACGCAAAGGGCACTGTGGGCTCCCCGTTTGGCCCGGGAACCACAAGTAAAAATATTACTTTGCATTTAAAATAAAATAGAAGTTCCCAGGTAGGGGAGGCTCTTCAGCTGGCTGCAGTGAAGTTAAGTGGCCCTTGGGCAGCCCCAGCTCGCAGCCCCGCAGAGCCCCTGCTGTGGGACCCGTCCCTGTCCTCGTCCACCCCATCCCCAGCTAATGACACTTGTGGATGTCCTCGCTCCCCAGCGTTTAACGACAACCAGCTGCCGGCCCTGGCAGCGCGTGGTGCGGTCGTGGCATTCTCCAACTAACTAGGGATGCTTGATTCTTCCAGCACAGTATTGCATTTAATGCTTCTTGTGGGAGGGAAGGGGCATGGCCAGATGGATGGGGCTGGACAGGCAGTGCTGCCTGCTCCTGTTATTGCCTGATCCTACACCCTGTGGGTAAGCAGAAATGGCCCATTCCTCAGCAGAAGTATTCTTCAGCCAGCATTATGTTTAATATAGTGGGAAACTGAGTGGAGCGGGGAGGACATACTGCCTATCCCATCAGAGCCGTAACGCTGATGCCTGAGCAATGCCGTGGTGGCATCTCCCAGGGCAATGTGAGAGCAGGGTGATGGTGGGAGCTGGGATCCTGGGCTTCAGGGCAGCAATGTGTGCTGGTGGGGATAGGGTTGGAGGCACTGAGTGAGGATTTGCTTATGGTCCAGGTGTATCAGGACAAAGCAAGGCACAAGCCAAAGCTCCGGCTCCCTACACCCCGGCATGATGCTGGGCTGATCCAGCCCCTCGTGGTGATCATGCCACCCAGTCTGAGCCCTGTTCTCTCCTTCCTCGCAGGCTTTCGGGAGAGCGCCTTCGCCTACGCCATTGCAGCCGCCGGCGTGGTGCATGCCGTCTCCAACGCCTGCGCTCTTGGCAAGCTGCAGGCCTGCGGCTGCGACCAGAAGCGCCGGGGCGATGAGGAGGCTTTTCGGCGCAAGCTGCATCGTCTCCAGCTGGAGGCCATGAACCGCGGCAAAGGCATGGTGCACGGGGTGCACATGGAGCACATGCCGGCCGAGACCCCCGGCCTCCAGGACTCCTGGGAATGGGGAGGGTGCAGCCCTGATGTGGACTATGGGGAGAAGTTTTCCAAGGATTTTCTCGATTCCCGGGAAACCTACAGGGACATCCACTCCCGCATGAGGCTGCACAACAACCGCGTGGGCCGGCAGGTGAGCGGGGCACTGGGCAGGGGTGTGGGGTGATGGTGGCAGGGACACGCGCAGGAGGGCTGCGAGGGGCTTGTGCTGGCTGCGGTGGGACACGTGGACGAGACTGGGATTGCCCCCAAGGCATCCCCTCTTCCCAGTTTTGCCCGGAGCAAAGGCAGTGGCGCAGCCCTGCTGCCGAGCATCTCTGCTGAGGAGGGGACCTCCAAGCCTGCCAAGGGACACTTCCCCAGGCCACTGTCACCTGCCTGTGCTGCAGCAGTGCTGCAGGGATGGCATGGCGATGAGTCCAGCTCCTGCCATCCACGGACTGGGTGAACTGGTGTCGGGCGCAAGGGAGCTATGGTCGGGGAGGAGAAAGTCACTGGCATGGTGTGAGAAGGCAGGTGCTGCAATGCACTGGCCCCAGCGAGGGGACGCAGCACAGGCTCCGCAGCACCCAGCCGCGGCTCTGCCTCCAGAGAGGGAGCCAGTGCCCCGAGGAGACAGATGTGAGTGGGACTGAGGCAGGCAGCGGGCGCCTGTGCCAGCTGGGAAGTGCAGCATCCCAGAGGTGACAGCCCACAGCCTCATCCCCCAGCTCCAAGGGGGTGCCGGAGCCTGCCCGGGCGAGCAGGGCAGCCTCCCCTCCATTTTCATGATGTCAGGTCTCGTAAAAGGTGCTAATTAGTAGCTCGCTCTGTCTGGAAGCTGATGTTTAAAAGCAGCCTGACACTGAAGACAAGAAGCACGCAGGCAGGAGGGGCTGGGAGGATGGCTGCATTTCCCTGCCTGGCTTTGCTCCCAGCAGGTGCCAGGGAGACCCCATCCCGAGGATCCAGCAGGACATTTGTCCCCAAGACCCAACCACACAGTGCAAGGGCCGCGCAGGGGAGTGTGTAGTGGCTGCAGGAATAAGTAATTAAAGATCAGAATTCCACAGGGAGTGTTTCCCTGGGATGGCTCAGACGTTTGGATGTGCCTCTTGCTTTGAGCATGTTTAAAGGCAGCTGTGAGATGGGGACGCTGCAGAGCAGGACCTTGATGTGTGCCCTTCCCTGGTGCTGGAGCTGAGCTTTACCACTCCGAAGAAGCCGTCCCAATTTGGCCAAGCTGTAAATGCCTGGGGAAAGCCAGAGCTTTTTGCTTGTTTGGCTTTGTTTGCTTGCATGTGGTGAAGGTTCGCTCAGCGCTAGGCAGCTAAATCCCCCACAGGCTGCTCTGCCCCAAGCCAGGCAAGACCCCCCCCTCCCAATTCTGGCTGCAGGGCTCATCCTCGCTTCCCTCCAGCTCTGCATGCCCTGCACCACGGGGGCTCTTGGCAGTGCTCAGAAATTTGGGGTCTGCATTGCCCGTTTCCCAAGGGGAACGTTCCCCGCAGCCCCCTGCAGAAGGAGGGGAAGGTGAGAGAGGAATATTTGCACAGAGGGCATGTCACCACGCAGTGCCTCTGGGATCTGGCGACAGCAAAAATGCCTGGGGTCTGCTTGTCCCCAAGGGCAGGCAGGCACGGGACTGGCAATGTCAGCTCTTGGTGGCTTCAGAAACAAGAGCTGGAATGATGGAAGAAGCCTGGGAGCTGGAAGCAGAGGCAGAGGAGGACCAAAGGGCTAAAGGAGGGGATGGTACCAGCGCAGGTGGGGAAGCAATGGCTGGACAGGCTGCCCAGCTCAGGGACCCTGTTGAGATGAGGAGGTGAGCCCGGTTGCAGGTCGGGTTGTGATGGCTGTGGGTGCCATGCGTTGGAGCAAGGAGATGATGCTGTGCCTGGTCTGTGCCTGTTGGTACCATGCTTATTGCCAGGACTGGACCTGGCCGTCCACATTGCCTGGGAATGGGTTCTCCAGCTCCCTGCCTGCTCTTTTAGCAACGCCATGGGTCCTACACCCACCCAAGCCCTCCTCACTCCTAGGACCATCTTTCTGCTATAATAAGGAGCAATCTGCTGGGATTTCCCAAGAAAGGAGTGGCTGTGCTGGATGCAGCAGCTCTGTGGTCCTCCCCTCCAAGTCCCGAGGCTTGAACCCCTTGAGCAGAGTGGTGATGTGGACACGCACGCCACGTGCCGTGCCCTGCCACGCACCATCCCTCTCCGGGCACCAAGCAGCTGCAGCACCCAAGGCTCTCCAGCATCTCACTGATGCCGAGCATCCTCTCCACGGTCCTTGTATATCCCAAGGGTGCCCTGTGCGTGGGTAAGCCTGGCTACCAGCTCAGGCCCTGCAATGCCAGGGGGAGGTGACAGTCCCACCAACGGCCGCATCCAGTGGCTATGGGACGTGGGTTTCTGTAGTGTAGTGGTTATCACGTTCGCCTAACACGCGAAAGGTCCCCGGGTCGAGACCGGGCAGAAACACCTCTCTCTTTTCGGCCATCACGTTCGCCTGACACGCGGAAGGTCCCTGGTTCGAAACCAGGCAGAAACACGCTGACTTTTTCCTCTTTTGCATCCAACTACAAAGCTGGGGAGGGGATTGCAGCTGCAAGGGATGCACAGCATCCTCCGACAGTGGCAGTGGTCACCTCAGTCTTGAGTTGGAATAGGAAGCCCCGGAAAAATAGGAAGCCCCGGGGCAACCGGGTCTTCCTATTCCAACTCAAGACTGAGGTGGGTGTCCTGCATCCCTGGGAGGGAGCAAGTTCCCCAGCAAGGAGCAGCAGGAGAGTGCAAGAGGGTTTGCAGGTCCTCCTAACCCGCCAGATCAGAGAGCAAGAGAGGATGAAAGGCAGCCAGGAACTACCCATTACCCTCACAACAAAGACCTACGATAAAGCTCTTATGAGCGTGTCTGGGAGGAGCTGGGAATGTGCGAAAGAAAGCACCAGCGAGTCCAGGCATGTGCCGAACCCGGGTGTCTGTGAGACGGGGGAAGGACGTGGCCAGGTAGGGGTGTGTGGAGGAGATCCGATGGCAAAAGCATGGGGCCGAGGCTCAGATGGGTCCTTCTCAGGTCTCCTAGCTCTGGCAGGGTCCTGTCCCGCTGCGCTGGCCATGCAGGAGGGAGAACAAGCCGTCCCTGGGCAGGGGTGGATGGGTGCTGCGGTGCTGGGGCTCGGGATGCTCAGCGGTGGTGGCTTGGGTGATGGAGGTGGCACACACACACTGCCTTCTCCAGCCCCTGCTGTGACCAGCTGTA